AAACATCTGCATAATATTAGTCATGACCTAGGATTAAAGTTTGTAAATCACCAATAAAAGGGGCTGCCAGTGGGAAAAGCTATAGAATTATATAGCTAAATTAAGAATTTTGAAGACCTCATGTATGTTTTATTGCGATTGAAATTCAATAAAAAATACAAGTTGTGACTTTATACATGTGGTGTTCAAAGACATAAATATTTTAAATTAAACATCCTTACTTGAAAGGATTTAACAAATTAATTTAGTACTGTTGAAGAGGTGTGGATATTTAACTTTTCAAGCATTATAAATAATATGCAATTGGAAAATAATTTCATTGATTTTTTGGTTTCCATTAAAAATTCACTTTAAAGGATTCAATTATGAACAAACAAAAATTCATAAAATCTGAATTTAGCATTTCTCTGATGGATGATGTTATTTGCCTTTGTTATGTTCTTTTTGAGCATTTGTATTTCACCATTTAATTTAGACTATGAGCAAATATTTTAAAGTAAGGATGCTTTTTTTAAATCCTGAATCAGAAAGATTGTTCTTAAATTTTTCTACTTTGTACAAATTTTAGTATAAATTTTCTTAAAGAGAGGTCAAATCGAGGTTTTCACCTTCAAACCACCATAGGAAAAAAGTCATGTTACACAAAATGCTCAATTTTTTTCCATTTTTTTCTTGGAATGGCAATATGAGATCTTAATAAATGTTTGCAGATGATATCTATATATAATTTACTAGTTCAACTGGTTGATGATGTTTTAAAACTGATATTTTAAATATAATTTTCTTCTCTGAAGACATCATCTGGTAATTTTTAAACTATACTTTTTTTACCTTTGCTACTAATTATTATATATGTAATTGATTTTATTTCTATATGTAAAAAGAAGCTGTTTCTAAAATTCTAAATAATATTGGTCCAATTTTACTTAAAATCCAGTAGTGTTTTTACCAATTTTAATGTCAATATCATTGAGAATCATATCATTAAGAACCAGTGTTCCTTAAAACAATATTCAGAAAAACTTTAGAAAGCTGGAAACTTCTTTGTTGAGTAGCGTGATAGTGCTTTTCTGCATTTTTTCTAAATAGGTTCACATAGACAGAAAAATAGACTTCCAAACAATTTTAAAAATACATCTCAGTAAAATGTTACTTTTCTGATAAAGATAAATTCAGTGCAACTAAACATATTCATTGTTTTAAAGAAAAGGAAAAATAAACATCAAGGAGGTTTCACTTAACAGAAAAAGGCATGTGGGCATCACACGTTGCTGTCTGAGGACAGTGCTGAATTTTGATTAGAGCAAGAAGCTATAATTGGAGTGATAATCTTTTACACTGTTTTTAATTGTAATCAGTGCAGATGTTTGCAGCTTTAGGATTAAAAATTGGTGCTTTACAATATGTATAGTTGATGATTTTTTTAGGCCACAGGCTGCTCAACTTGGCTCATCTTAAAACATGAATTTGATATTCAGAATAACTGAAAAGTGAAAAATCCACAAGAATTAAAAAACAAATATCTACCATTTTTGATGTACTAGAATGTGTATGTTTCAATTTTACTAAGCTTATGTAGATAATTTTTGTATCCTTTCTTCATGAAGTGAAATAAAGAAGCTCCATCTCTAAGACTAAAGAAAAGGAAAATTTGAATTATCATTGAAAATAGCTTTGATAAAGAAAATATTAAAGTCTTCATAATTTAAGCATGATCTCTCCAAGGATAGGATAATTTGACTCATTCTTTAGGTGTTAGAATGAAATTCAAATGAAAACAATTCTATATAAGCATTACATTTTGCATTTCTTTCATTGTGTCTATTTTTATCTCAAGATGAGGTCCCTGGAGATATCCCTCTCTCTTTATCTCTCAAATATATATATATATATATATATATATATATATATATATA